CACAGGAAGCGGTTTGAAAATCTAAGACCTCAGAGTGTCATGAAGGAGGCCGGAGTTCTCAGACTACTTGTGGTTTGAGGCTTTTTTCTGATCGGCTGCTGTTCAAGTGAAGTACTTTCAGATTTTAACTTTGGGCTCGGCACTTATAGAGTGCTTTTCTGCTCTATCTGAACACTCAAAGCACTTTTAACTACAAGCCTCATTTAGCCAGTCACACACAAATTCATACGTTTTGTAATCTAAGCATCTTATCTAACATTTAACTCTGAACTGAATGAAGGCAGCTCCTCTTAATGTGTAAAGTATCTCTGTGAATTATATTTATTTTTCAGCATGGCTGACTCAAAAAATACGACTTCATCTGTCAATCAGACCTGTGATCCAGGTGTCCCATCAGTCAACCCTTTCTTTATGCTGGTCTACAGTCTGGTGTTTCTGGTATGTTTCAAATCGTCAGATTGTGCCCTGAAACTGGTTCCTGGTTCATGTTTGAAAGTCCTCTTGTCTACATCCTCTCTGTGTCTCTACAGGTGGGTTTACTCCTCAATGGCTTCATCCTAAAGTTTTACATTTCTCAAACTCAGCAGCAGGCATCCAGCAGCTTGATGGTCTACCTGAAGAACCTGACAGCTGCTGACTTCCTGCTCTGCCTCTGTCTGCCATTGCGGATAATCCACTATGCCAGCACCTCGGCCATTTTGCACATACTCTACTGCAGCATTGGAGCTACTTCACTGTACCTCAACATGTACACCAGCATCCTTTTCATGGGGTACATCGCTGTTAACAGGTAAGGAACGTTTACTGAGCTAAAATTGCAGTTCATAACAATGTTAAAACAAGATTTTTGGTTAATTACACTCTTAAACTCTGCATTTTTGGCAAGAACATGAATATTTAGTTTCACTTTAACAGTGACTTCTGCAGATTTGGCACCACTGACTTGTTTGGCAAAGTTGTCTACTGCCTCTTTTATCTCTCCAGGTATCTAAAGATCGTCCATCCTTCAGGAACTCACGTCCTGCAGACAGTACGAACTGCCCAC